AATCTGTCGTCTCCTCCCAACAGTACCTTTTCTACTACAAAAGGCAAACACTTTCTATGGGTTAAATTCTTCCTTCCCTTTCCCTTTCGGGAGAAGGTGGCAGTCGAAAGTGGGCATAACTGCAATCTCCTCTTTACGTTCCGAAAACCTAAATTCATCTTCATTCCTACAAACCCATTGTAAAAAGGAATGTACCACTTTCATTAATGTCGCTCAAATTAATAGAATTAAACAATTTAATCTTATTCAGCCTTCAAGAATTCAAACAAAAAAAAAAAACATAAAAGTAAAAGTAAGTTATTCTTAATTACTCAGATATTATGAAGGCTTTAAATAACTCGACAAATATACCAAACTCCTAGATTTTTCAAAGTAGAGTTTTGATGTCATTTGCTATGTTCTGGGCATCGAAGGCAGCTCCATAGAGTCCTCTCCTGGCAAGTCCACTGCAGTAAAGTCCATCTTTACCCTTCCAATGGTTTGGGAAACTAGGCTTTGGAAGTCCATCTTCATTCAAAAGATAATCATCGCCCTGCACGAGTTATTTCACCCGCTCATTCTAACATTCTGTCTCGAGAATAATTGATACACAATATTTTTAACTTCTTTTATTCTTTAATGTTGTTGTATCGTTTTTAGATTAAGTTGTGGTAATTTAAAAAATATTGAAATAAGTGTGTGGATCAATCATGTTGAGTAAAATACACTTCAAATAATTCATTTGGTGTTAATCATTAAAAAAAAAAAAAAAACCTTGATGCTTTGATAAATTCTCAATCCTTGGGGTTTCAAATTATTTGCTATTCATGATTTTTTTTTTTCATTTAGCCCATGTTCGATAGAAATTAAAATTCAGATTTTAATCTAAGTCAAAGTTAAAACACATATATCATGCATTATTGCAATTATGAGATTAACGGAAAGGACTAAAGTTATATTATTGGATTTTTATAAACTAAATTGAGATATGTATAAAAGTTCATGAATTATCTATGGCAAACCCTTTTTTGGGGAGAAAAGGAAGCTTTACTTCAACAAGTACCAATATGAAATTCAAATTTTTTGAACAAGAAAAATGAAGTATGTATGTACCTTGAGCCATTGATTTGTGGATCTTTTGAAGCCAGTTGCAAATATTATAGCATCAAAAGGGTGTTCTTTCCCATTTTCAAACACCACATCATTGCCTCTTATGCTTGTTATTCCAGGCAGCACCTGTTTGTACAAAACAAACAATTTATCCATAGTGTATAGAAAAAAAATTCGTCATTCAATTCGATTCATTGTTACCTCTGTTGAAAATTATAAAATAATTATTTGTCTATCTTAACATTCCCGTTATTCAAACATTACTAGCAGAGATGACAGAGGGCAGGTTCGGGCCAGCATCCCGCCACTCACCCGCCCAGCCATTGATGGGCAGGGCTTGGGGTGGGTGCCAGGCACGGGCATGTCCGTTTCCTGCCCTTTTTTTTCAAAAATTTTCAGTTAAAATACAAGCTCAAAATTTTAAAATTCAAAACAAATAATGCTCAAACTAACTACATCAATATCCAAAGCAAATATTCGAAACAAACAATGTCCAAAATTAAATATTTATAGTTAATTAATTTTAATTTTTTTATTCTTCATGGGACGGATTCGAGATTCCCGGCCCCGCCAACCCGTTGGGTGGGTTTTTCCCCTCCATTCGGGGCGGGCCGGATTATTTTGCCAATAAAAAACATGTTATCAAATACAAGTGAACGGCAAACCTGAATGACTCCTATCTTGATTTTCTGATAGGTCCCAACATCAATGACTGGGTACTTTCCATACTTAACTTTCAAAGTAAATGGGCCCTCTTGTGGCCTTTTGATTCCATATTTCGTCAGGTCTCCGTAGATTAACTTGCTGAGAAATGTCAATAAGCTATCAACAAATTTGAAGGGAACATAATTCAACAAAAACAGTCCCATGTATGCCATTTCCCTTGACAATATATGAATCTGCACAAGCAAATAAAAGGGTCAATCGTAAATATAAAATTAACAATGATTTTCAATCCCACACTCGGATGTGTGTACGCGTGATTGTGATCGGTAATTGTTGACCAAAAAAAAAAAAGGCTAATGATGCCAAAAGTGCAGATAATATTTACCGGGCTTCGAACAACAACGGAGGTCTTGGCACCATAGTTTGCAAGATCAAGTGCAATTTCCATACCAGAATTCCCACTCCCAACAACCAAAACACTTTTCTCTCTAAACTTTTCACCATTCTTGTACTGTGTTGAATGAATTTTCTCTCCTGCAAATGTATTCAGACCTTCAAAATCAGGTACAAACGCATCACATGTTTCTCCAGTAGCCACAACTAGAAATCTGCAAGAAAATTCTTCGACTTCATTCGAACTGATATTTTGGGCCTGAATCTTCCATTTCTTTGTGGGTTCGTCGTACACAGCAGATTTGACTGATTTTCCATATGCAGGATTGATCTTGAAATGAGAAACGTATTCATCCAAATACTGTATGAAATCTTTTTTTGAAACATAGGTTGGACAAGAACTGGGAAGCTTGAAATGGGGCAGTTCACTGAATTGTTTGGCCAAGTGAAGATGAAGACGGTCATATGAATATTTCTTCCACAGTGAAGCAAAACAATCTTCTCTCTCAAGAATCATATATGGGATTGAGAATTGGCTTAAACAAGCAGCAGTTGCAAGGCCAGAAGGCCCCGCCCCAACTATTATCACTTGTTCTTGCACTTCTGCCATGGCTGCGAGCTTAGCTTTTAATTAATGGGATTTTTTTATGCAATGCTATAATGAATGGGAGATGGTAACTGATAATATATGAGAAGATTGGAATGATTCCAAGGCGAGTTGTCTAGGAAATTGAATTAACTTCGGGGTTGACCGCGCGGATGATCTCGGGGTTGACCGCGCACGCACACATGGAGGGTTGTGATTATTTTATTCATGTGAGACCCTCATCTCGGTTGTGAGGGTATGGTTATCCCCGTGGTCATCCATGCGGGTCGTTTAGCATTATTCTAAAGAGTAATGTTATTCATCCTCACTGGAATGAAAACATAGTTTAAGTGGCGTTAATGTGGCATTAAATGATAGGTAAAATTAAGTAAGTCATTTAATATCACCTTTCATTTAACCTATCATTTAACGCCACCTAAACTGTATTTTCGTCACCACTGAGAATAAATAACATTACTCATATTTAAAGCATTAAATGATATGTGAAATGTAATAAGTCATTTAATTTCACATTTCATTTAACCTATCATTTAATGCCACCTAAATTGTGTTTTCATCACCAATGAGAATGAATAACATTACTCATATTTAAAGCATTAAATGATAGGTGAAATTAAATAAGTCATTTAATTTCACATTTCATTTAACATATCATTTAACATCACCTAAACTGTGTTTTCATCACCACTAAGGATGAATAACATTACTCATATTTAAATTGATCATGGACCAATATAGAATTTTTCCCATTGACTAAAAAATTTTACCCCTTCCGTCCAATTTATATAAGTTCACTTTTCTTATTTTCTTCTCCAAATTATATTGTTTTGTTTTTTTATTAAGAATGTTTTGTTTTGTTCGTTTACTAATATACTTTTATTTCTTTACTACTTCCGATAATAATTTACTACTAATTATTGATAATTAAATGAGGGTAAATTAGGAAAGTTTTTGGCAAAAATTATTTTTTCAAAAACATTAACTAAGATTTCTTAATCCGTATGAAAAACAAAACATGCCTGTATAAATGGGACATGAGGAGTATTTCTTAACTTAGAACTACAAGTAATCTCATCATATCTGTCAATGTTTTGTTTAATGAAGGAAAGATGAGAAGACTTGTTAACTTGGAACTACAAGCAATCTCTTCTGTTTGTTTGCTTCTTGTTTAAGTATTAAGTGCTTTTCTGATAAAAAACATTTTTATAAATAATTTTTAAAAAATGATTTTTTTTCCTTTTGTGAAATAGTGGTTAAAAAATAGAAAAAATTATGTAAAGTACGTGAAAAGTAATTTTATGATTGAATGAGACTTACAGAATAAAAATCAAGCATCAACTAGATGCTAATGGAGAGTATACTTATTTCAAGAGGAAAAATGTGTTAGGGAAAATGGAGAATCAAAGTAGATCAATCAAAATCGAAGGTCCGTGTTTACACGGTTTTTTTAAATCGAATTCGCCGCCTCACCGGAGTGCAAGAAGTTTTGATCAGTGTTCGATTCCCAGGATGTAATCGGTTGTCGGTTCCCATTGCACTACGTTAACCGCCTACGAATTAACTGTGTTTTGCTCTCAAAACACTTTGGTAAAGGAAGAACAAGAACAAAAATAGAGACCACTAGAAAGGTACATCAATTAATGTTATCTGTTGTGAGTCATTCATACTGGCCACAAAAGGAAGATAACTAGTGAGTGATGGTTATCTACTAGTAGAATTGTTGGTGAGGGGTCATTATTAATCCCTCTGAACTATTTAAAAATTAAATTGTACTATAGCATTTTTAAATAATGTTAAAATCTTCTAAAATTTATCAACAAATATGTACGCCGACTGCCAGTAATTTAGAAAGTAAAATTTTTAAAAAATAAAAACACAGAAAAAATACTCGTGATGCGTTGGAATATTTTTTAGTATACGTGCACTGCAATTACCTACTTGCTAATTTGAGTTTCTCGTGTAAGTTAGCGATGATAGTTATCTTTCATAACGTCTAATCGAAATTTTTCAACGATGGTACTGATGTTCTACCGATATCGTGGAATTATGATTGATATTTTTCATAGGTGATAATGCTCAACTGGGCATTCCAATCAATTTTTTCATTGGTGATAATACTCAATTTAGTAAGGAAAAATTCGTCTTGGGCATATTTTTATAATGAACGTCATATTAATCATATATGTTGTTGACGTCAAAAATTGTATAAATAAAATTAAAGTCAACTCCAAGTGTAAATAATGATTTTTATTGATAATTACTTACAATTTACAAGTTTTTTTTTTTTTTTTTATCAAATGAGATATTTGAAATATGAAATTGTTAGACTTCTTTTCCCCCACCCACCTACCATTTCCCCAAACATACCACCCTCCTTTTTATAGGAGATGATGGGTATGTATCCTTCGTATCCATGTCTTGTCAACAACAGTATCGAGTTGGAAACTTGTGTCAATGACTTAAATCATGATTGGTTGCTGTCAAATCAATATACAGTACCGAGCTGGGAAGATGTGCCAATGACATATCCTGATTGGTTGCTGAGGTCGGCTTCATTGGATTATCGTGAAGCCACCCTAAATGGGGTCCCTAATAATTAATGAACTGGTTAGAGAATGAAGATATAGACGATGACGTAAGCCCTTCCAAATGTCATTAATTGATTGAATGTTTTGGCAGTATATAAGGACTTTATAATCATTATGTCCCTTCAAACAATGACGGTCATAAGTACGAGCTGACCTTGCAGATCCGACCTTAAATTATCATGGGCAAAGTGCATACAACAAACGAATTTAATTAAATCGCAGTCGAATGTCAACACGTGTTATTTATCATGAAGCACATGGACCAGCTTATTTATTTTGGTCCAATGACAACCTGTCCATATTCTATAAATTAGGTCACCACCACCTAACACTGTATTCCCTAAATGTCTATGAAGATTTGGTAAGATGAATTCATTATTCATTTTTGCATCTAAATAATATGTGTGATAGTGACTTTGTATGATTTAATTATTAGTTGCATATATTAAAATTTTAACATTCGGTCGACTTGATCAAACAAGGCAGCAGTTGACCAACATATATTTAAGAAATAAAAAACAATTAAATCTTTCGAATCAATAAACTACACATAACCAACAAATAAAAAATTCATACAATTTTTGTTTTTATTCATTTTCTCCCATACAAAAATAAATGCTTCCAACTTTTTTTTTCTTTTTCCCATTTTTTTTT